TACGAATATTGATCGATTAAAGCCATACGCCCAACCAAGAACAGATAATACAAACGATCAATCAACAATAACAGCGAACAACAATGAACCATTATCAGATGATCCATCCATCTCAAATACAGCAGACAATATCGATCAGTCATCTGATATAAATTCAACAATACAAAGACGAGTATCAAATCGACACCGCAGGGCGCCGATGAGATACATTGAACAATAATCAACAAGCGACTAACATACCATCGGTGAAAGAAAGAGATAAACCAATGACACCTTCCTTTGATGAATTCAAAAGAAACATATGGAAATCATCAATCACAAACATTATCTATGAAAAGAAATGGGGGAAAGGGATAACACTAAATTTCATTCAACTAGCTGAACAATTCTGAACAAGATGCAAAGCAAACTAATATAGTGGACTTTAAACGCTCTGATAATACAAACGTACACATTACTCAATATAACTTTACCAAGACAGGATATTCTACACAAATCATCAGGTTTAATCATGAATTACGTGTCAGAATACAAACCGGCAGACAATGTAATATCGATCACAGTATCCATTCCAATGTTTGATGACACGTGTTATTTAATACCAATCAAAGCAATGAAGAAAATTCCCCAATGCGTGGCTAAAATCAACTCAAACGAAGAAAAGGAAGAAAGAAAAGCAAGAAGATCGATTATACACAAAAGACATAAACAACAACGACAAAGAAGATTTTTAACTGCATTGATTCCAATTGCAATGGGTGTAGTCTCAACAGCCTAGTCGACAATCAATCTAGTACAAGATGCAAACCTTCAACAACAAGTCAGAACAACCATCGATACAATTAACATGTTGAGAGACAATATGGATGTACACGCAAGTCAAATTTTTCAACTAACTGCCGGACAAATCAGATCAACAGAAGAACTCTATCACACACAAATGGCTCTGAATAATACAATTAAGATAGTGAACGAACACTCCGACATGATCAGAGAGAATCGAATAGCAATTAACACCTTAGCAGAAACAATCAAAGCACTACAAAAGAAACTTTCGACATTCATACATAATGTAGAAACACATTTTATTCACGATTCGATCGAAGATATCTTGGCTAATAAACTCTATTTACGATTCATGCACCATCAGGATCTACCTCGAGTAATAGATATTATAATGCAAGAAACAAATATACATTTAGACAAAGATAATGATGACATACCACTCTTTGAATTAGCCAGCCGTTTATTGATACAACAACGCGTCGAATTTATGCCAACACCCAACACACAAAGAAACGATCAAGATAAAATGGGAAAGGACCCCGCCGGATAAGAAGCCAAATCTGCCACCCTATAGAATTCAGCCGCGAGTTATATATTCTGAAAGTCCTTGACGTGGCGAACATTTCTACATATTTTCTTTAATTATAGTTATCTATTGTAGGGTACCAATGAATCACTTTATTAGTACCCGAAATTCCGTTTTATGAATAGTTGGTCAATTTCAAAAAGTTCTATTTTCTGTATTAAAAGCCTGCAGTTGAGCATATCAGATACTACCAGTAGATGCGCCGAAATGCGCTCTACAAAATGGTATATGTCTATAAATTTTGAATTACTCCCTTTAAAAACTATAGGCCTTACAAACAGTAAATAGTTTTCAAAAATAGAATCTTATGCATATTTTCTATATGTTCCTCGTTGATTTGTCTCTTATCATGAACTTTAACAAAATAGCCACTACTGTAGAAAACTTTCTCGTCATTTACTCTACAAAATGGCATAAATTTGAAGCAAACTTTTACATTACTGATATGCCTTTATTTGATGATTACTTTTGAACATGTCACTATTTCATATATACATATGAATACTTATTTTAAATTTATGCGAATTTTTTCTAGTTTATATCTGAAAGTTAGCATAATATTTATGTCCAATAAGTAGAATAACATCAAGCAGGACTCTATAGAGTAGTACTGTACGTATATAATCTAATGTATGTTGCCAGAAACTGTACCTCATAAAATATAATTCTCAAATTACAAGATGTAGAAGTAAAAAGACAGGATGTTTTTGACAGGATCTTTCATCTCTTGCGTTTGCTGAACAGTAGCTCACTGTTATTGCACTAAGTCCTCTTGTGGATACGTTACAATACTTTTCGTGTTGATTATCTTCATATCAATTTAAGCGGTTCATTTGTGATCTCTGCTATATATTTTTTAACATAGTTTTGTTCCTTGCATCGACTTGTGATAATTGTAGTGCGATTATTTCAAATACATTACTCTTACGCAAACATATTCGATATAGACATATTATCGGTGTCACTTGTAGTACGTGACGAGTTCGATTTTGGTAGGTAATTTTCATGGATAAATATTATAATACTGTGTATTTGTTTAACATTAGGGTTTCAAATAGCTATTTCAAGAATCAGAGAATAAACGATCAGAGAAGTTATATGGGTAAGTTGACTGTTCAATTTTTCTCTTACGTAATAGTTTTAGAGAACATCAATGTGAAGCTAGCACGAACAAACGATTTGTTAGCTAAAAACTTTATTACTAAATAAGTCCTGTCTATGAGAATTACACCATTCGACTCAAAATTAAATTCTGTATCGAATGGTGACACTTTTATTCGCATCTTTGTTAGCTTCCTATAGGTCTATTTATAATCCAAATAGAATTCTTTCAGAGTTTGTCCGGTGAATAAAAGTACCATCATTCGATGTAGAATTAAATTTTGAGTCAAATGGTGTAATTCTCATGGACGGGGCTTGTTTAGTAATAAAGTTTTTAGCTGACAAATCGTTTGTTCATGCTAGTTTCACACTGACTTAGACAACCACGTTGGATCAGCACATATTACTATAATTGGAAACTTCGATAATCTTTTACTCAATATATTTTTAGAACAACCTCTTGAAATGCCACAGAAGAAATGTATTCTTTGTTCTCATTGGTCGTTTAACTGTCGATCGTTGTCATCTTCCACTTATCGATGGTTCCATGAACATCTTCGATCACAGTACAAGGTTTTTGATGAAAGGGATCTAAATCTATGTACTACTTGCGTTGCCGATTTTTACAAGTTGAAGGAAACATTGACTATTCGATTAACTGATGAACCAATGGATATCGCAGATGAAATCAATGAGAACGGTGATGACAATCAATTTACATTGGAAAATATTACTTTTGGTGGGAGTGGCCATAAAAAGTGTGTTGTCTGCCGTCAAGATATTCGGAATGGAGCAGTAACGATGCCAAAATCTGCGCGATTAGATCTACTCGTTATCCATTCAACGTACGCACCGAAAGGTGTTCGCTGTTGCTCAAACC